AAAATTTTGAAAAAATTTTTTTTTTTAATTTTGCTATAAAAAATATATAGTAAACTCAAAGTTAGTCATAAATGTAGGCCAAAATGTATTCTGCTACGTTTTTGGTAAAAAAAATCCCAATTAGTGTATATTGATTGCTTTGTGTGAAAGTTATAGCGTCTACAATCTATGGTATAGATCAGGGGTGGGCAAACTTTTTGACTTGAGGGCCGCAATGGGTTCATATATTGGACCCGGGGGCCGGACCAAGAGTAGATGAATGATGTGTATGTGTCATCCATAGTAAGTATAGTAATATTCCCTCATAGTAAGCATAGTAATTAATCCCCCATAGTAATTAATCCCCCATAGTAATTAATCCCCCATATAGTAATTCATCCCCCATATAGTAATTCATCCCCCATATAGTAATTCATCCCCCATAGTAATTCATCCCCCATATAGTAATTCGTCCCCCATATAGTAATTCGTCCCCCATATAGTAATTCGTCCCCCATAGTAATTCATCCCCCCTATAGTAATTCATCCCCCATAGTAATTCATCCCCCATATAGTAATTCATCCCCCATAGTAATTCATCCCCCACATAGTAATTCATCCCCCACATAGTAATTCATCCCCCATATTAATTCATCCCCCATATTAATTCATCCCCCATATAGTAATTCATCCCCCATATAGTAAGTCCTCCATATAGTAATTCATTCCCCATATAGTAAGTCCTCCATATAGTAATTCATTCCCCATATAGTAAGTCCCCCATATAGTAATTCATTCCCCATATAGTAAGTCCTCCATATAGTAATTCATTCCCCATATAGTAAGTCCCCCATATAGTAATTCATTCCCCATATAGTAAGTCCTCCATATAGTAATTAATTCCCCATATAGTAAGTCCCCCATATAGTAATTCATCCCCCATATAGTAAGTCCTCCATATAGTAATTCATTCCCCATATAGTAAGTCCCCCATATAGTAATTCATTCCCCATATAGTAAGTCCTCCATATAGTAATTAATTCCCCATATAGTAAGTCCCCCATATAGTAATTCATTCCCCATATAGTAAGTCCCCCCTATAGTAATTCATCCCCCATATAGTAAGTCCCCCATATAGTAAGTCCCCCCCCTGTGTCAATTCACTTACCTTTGGTCCGCGCGTTCCTCTCGTATTCCCGCGCCGTTCTGGTCTTCAGGGAGGACTGTGAGAGGAGTTCGTCACGCTGCCCCGCCTACATCCTGGCTGCCCCGCCTACATCCTGACAGCTGCAGAGTCCTGACGTCCGAGAGGAGGGAGGGGGGCGGCCATCCGAGAGGGGGGGCGGCCATCCGAGAGGAGAGGAGGGGGAGAGGAGGGAGGGGAGCGGGCGCCCGGCACACAGGAGAGCCGCATCTAAATTTGTAAAGAGCCGCGGCTTGCCGACCACTGGCCTTGCGGGAGCCTAGCTCCGCGGGCCGGATTAAAAGGTCCGCCGGGCCGTATACGGCCCGCGGGCCGTAGTTTGCCCATTGCTGGTATAGATACTGCAATTTACAAAAAAATTTTCTATACAGCGCTGCACTAGTTTAACTGACAATTGCTCGGTCATGCAATGCTATACATAAATAAAATTTATGTCCTTTGTTTCACACAAATAGAGCTTTCTTTTGGTGGTATTTGATCACCTGTGCGAAATATCGCACTATAAACAAAAAAGACCAAAAATTGTGAAAAACAAATATCCAAAAAACTCAAATTTTTTCATAAATTTAGGCCAAAATGTATTCTGCTACATGTTTTTGGCAAAAAAATTCCAATAAGTGTATATTGATTGCTTTGTGTGAAAGTTATAGCGTCTACAAACTATGGTATAGATAATGGAATTTACACAGCTTTTACTTTCAGACTGCCTATCACATTTCTTGAGGTGCTAAAATACCAGGATAGTACAAACACCCCCAAATGACCCCTTTTTGGAAAGTAGACACCCTAAGCTATCTGCTGAAAGGCATATTAATTCCATGGAAGATTTTTTTTTTTTCACAAGTTTTTGGAAAATGACAAAAACTTTTTTTTTCTTTTTTTTTTGTTTACACAAAGTTGTCACTTAAATGATATATTGCTCACACAAGCCATGTGTATATGTGGAATTACACCCCAAAATACATTCTGCTACTTATACAAGTAGCAGAATGTATTTTGGGGTGTAATTCCACATATACACATGGCTTGTGTGAGCAATATATCATTTAAGTGACAATACACCAAGTATGAGGTATACACCAAGTATGAGGATACCTGTAAGGGAATTCCTGTGAGACGGCTGGCTAATAGAAATATGCATGCGCACAGAAATATCCGCAGAATAGTGACCAGACGTGCGCATACAATAGCGCACAAGCACATACACAAACAGTGAATATTGGCGCCAGAAGGACTATTTAAATGATTCTTTTGCCTGTGTTTAGTGCTGATTGGTCTTCAGCCGTTTCCCTGTGTCCTGCTGTATTCCTGCATGATCCCCTTGTTGCTGACCCAGCTTGTTCCTGACCTGACTCTGATTCCTCTCCTGCCTTGTTGCTAGTTCCTGACCCTGGCTCTGTTCCTGACTTTGGCTTGCTTATGATTTGGTATCTCGATGCCCGCCCCTTGATGACCCTGGCTATTCCTGTAACCTTGCTCCTGTCTCCGATCCCAGCTTCCTGTCCTTCTCAATTGCCCACCTGGCTGTCTATTATACCAGATCTGCACACTATAAACTATTCCTGCTTCAAGCCAGCTGGGAGAGCTGACACGTCACTTATCCTGATCCAGTTGTGCAAGCAGAGCGCCCTTTTAACCCCGGTGGAATTCCGAAACATCGCTACCGTTCCTGAACCGGTGGTTTGTCAGTCTCTTCAGGACTCCAGCTGCAAGCTCTTCAGGAAACACCTACTGGAACTCTTGTTCCCCTCTGTTCCACTTCCAGCGGGGTCAGGGCTAGTGACACAAGTGAGGCTGACCTCGTCATTTCATTCTCCTATCAGGTACATGACAATACCACATGTGTGAGACTTTTTGGCAGCCTAGCCACATACAGGAGCCTGAAATCCAATGAGCACTTTGAAAGCCTGAAGGTGCGTAACTTCCTCATTTCACTTCCTCACTACCTATCACAGTTTCGGAAGCCCTGAAATGCCAGGATAGCACCAAATCTCTCCAAATTACCCCTTTTTGGAAATTAGACACCCCAAGGAATTTAAAAAAAGGCATGGTGAGTATTTGGCTCGTAGCTTCTGATTTCTTAGACTATAGAGAGATTGACACCATTCTGGTCTCCAATCAGCTCTATGGTCAGCTGGCAGAAACACCGGCTGCATTCTCAGGTTCCCCCGATGGCAAGAGACTGCCCGAGAAGGCCGTGGGGGAGGGGGCATCTTCTCCAACTGCTTGTAAAAACAATCCTGCAGCTAATTGGCCACTAGGATTGCTTTTACATGAAAACCGATCGCCGGCTGAAAACGATACCAGGATGATGCTTACAGCTGCATACCTGGTATAACCACTCAAAGTCCAGTGTTAGGAATGGACTCGCCAATAGTGGTGGGACTCACCTGCCTTGTGGGTTGCAGTACCAGGACTGGCCAGCGGGTGCTCTCAGCAACCAGAGGCTCACTCCTGCAGTCAGCCAAAACACCTGAGGCTGATTGCAGAAGGTGCATATAAGGAATGGCCAGACTTGCAATCAGGGCCTTGGTGTATGTTTCCCAAGAGCCCCTGTACCTGCATCCTGTCTGCTTCCTGTCTGATCCTGCTTGATCCCTGACTCTGATTGAACTCTGCCTGTCCTGACCTCTGCTATTCCTGACCACTCTCCAGTCTGCTCCTTTGGTACCTTGTCTGCCTGGTTGTTCCTGACCCGGCCCGTCTGACTACGCTCTGCCTGCTCCTTTGTGCCTTGCCTGCCCATTTGCTACCGACCCGGCCTGCCCGACTACGCTTAGTATTGTTCTTTTGTTATCTGTTGGGGGTTTTGGTTTGGTTTGTTTGCACTGTGTTTATGTTTAGTCTTGCACTGCGTTTATGTATTGTTTAGTCTTAAATTATACTGTTTATACTATATCTGAAGCCTGCGTTTCCCTGTGTCAGTCCACACACCTCTGGTCATACCCGGAGCCCTGACATCACACCAAGGCCAATCCTGACCAGAAGTGGCTGCACAGGGAAGCCATCTTGGCTTATTGTTGCTGGGAAGGATGAATCTTGATGAGGTGGTGTATTTGTCTTTGCTAGTGTTTGATGACAGAGATTATGCTTATCAGACTCTGAAGGAGTATACCCGGGATCAACTACTAGAGTGCATAAGGATCGCTCATTGCCTAGTAGATCAGGGCACAGAGTTCTCTGAGATGCAACCATTGATTCAGGTTTGTGCAGAGTTGGTTTCATCTGGTACCCCCGAAAGCAGGGATGAATTTTTGCCACTATTTAGTGCCGACCAGGTAGAGTCCCTGGTATGGTTATTGGAGGATGATGTGGATTACTTTCTGGAGCGTTATTCTGCATGTTCACAACAGGTACTAAGAGACTGTATAAAACGCAGTGCAGTCTTTGACCAGACAGGCTTTGTGTAAGCTGAGCTTTGTTCAACCCATACTGCAGACATGGTCAGACTTGTTGCACCCAGCCTCAGTCAGCTTGCAACGTCATTCCTCTGCTCAAGGCACTCTTCCTGCATCCCCGACAGCACCCCCAGTGATGGCCCAGTATACTCTGCTACCTACCACATATCAGTCCCCTGCTCCCACTCGCTGCACCTATCCTTTCTTTAACCCTGTAAAGAAGTCCTCTGTAGCAACTGCTCCCTCCTTTGTTCCATCCCCAGCTCTTCTCTGCCTACAGCTGCTCTATCCACTTACAAACCTGTGCTTACTTCCTGTGCCACAGTAACTAAAACCAGGAAAAAGCGTAATTCTTTCCAACCAGTACCATCCTGCCAGTATCCAAACCGGTCAGCCTGCCATCTGAGAACCCCCCTTCCGTGGTTCAGCCTGGTGCCCCGGCACCCGCAATTCAGCCTGATACCCTGATGCCTGATGACCCAGTGTACGCTACCCAGCCTGATGGTTCTACCCAACCTGATGGTTCTACCCAGCCTGATGTTCCTACCCAGCCTGTTGAACTGATCGAGCCAGATGACCTGTTGCCAGATGACCTGGTGCCCGCTGTCAAGCCAGATGACCCGGTACCCGCTGTCGAGCCAGACGATCCTATGCCTGATGACCCGGTGCCCGCTGTCAAACCAGATGACCCAGTACCCGCTGTCGAACCAGATGACCTGTTGCCAGATGACTCGGTGCCCGCTGTTTTGCCAGATGACTCGGTGCCTGCTGTTTTGCCAGATGACTCGGTGCCCGCTGTCTTGCCAGATGACACGTGCCCGCTGTCTTGCTTGACGACCCGATGCCCGCTGTCTTGCCAGATGTCCCGGTGCCCGCTGTTTTGCCAGATGACTCGGTGTCCGCTATCTTGCCAGATGACTTGGTGCCCGCTGTCTTGCCAGATGACTCGGTGCCCGCAGTCTTGCCAGATGACTCGGTGCCCGCAGTCTTGCCAGATGACTCGGTGCCCGCTGTCGAGCTTGATGACCTGATGCCCACTGTTTTGCCAGATGACTCGGTGCCCGCTGTTGGGCTTGACGACCCGATGCCCGCTGTCTTGCCAAATGACTCGGTGCCCACTGTCTTGCCAGATGACTCGGCGCCCGCTGTCTTGCCAGATGACTCAGTGCCCGCTGTCTTGCCCGATAACTCGGTGCCCGCTGTCGAGCTTGACGACCGATGCCCGCTGTTTTGCCAGATGACTCGGTGCCCGCTGTCTTGCCAGATGACTCGGTGCCCGCAGTCTTGCCAGATGACTCGGTGCCCGCAGTCTTGCCAGATGACTCGGTGCCCGCACTCGTGCCAGATGACTCAGTGCCCGCTGTCGAGCTTAAAGACTCGATGCCCGCGGTCTTGCCAGATGACTCAGTGCTCGCAGTCGTGCCAGATGACTCGGTGCCCACTGTCGAGCTTAAAGACCCGATGCCCGCGGTCTTGCCAGATGACTCGGTGCCTGCAGTCGTGCCAGATGACTCGGTGCCTGCAGTCATGCCAGATGACTCGGTGCCCGCTGTCAAGCTTAAAGACCCGATGCCCGCGGTCTTGCCAGATGACTCGGTGCCCGCTGTCTTGCCAGATGACTTGGAGCCCGCTGTCTTGCCAGATGACTCGGTGCCCGCTGTCTTGCCAGATGACTCTGTGCCTGCTGTCTTGCCAGATGACCCGATGCCCGCTGTCTTGCCAGATGACCCGATGCCCGCTGTCTTGCCAGATGACCCGGTGCCCGCTGTTTTGCCAGATGACTTGGAGCCCGCTGTCTTGCCAGATGACTCGGTGCCCGCTGGCTTGCCAGATGACCGGTGCCCGCTGTCTTGCCAGATGACCCGATGCCCGCTGTCTTGCCAGATGACCCGGTGCCCGCTGTTTTGCCAGATGACTCGGCACCCACTGTCTTGCCAGATGACTCGGCGCCCACTGTCTTGCCAGATGACTCGGTGCCCGCAGTCTTGCCAGATGACTCGGTGCCCGCTGTCTTGACAGATGACTCGGTGCCCGCTGTCGAGCTTAAAGACCCGATGCCTGCTGTTTTGCCAGATGACTCGGTGCCCGCCGGTCTTGCCAGATGACTCGGTGCCCGCTGTCTTGCCAGATGACTCGGTGCCCACTGTCTTGCCAGATGACTTGGTGCCCGCAGTCCTGCCAGATGACTCGGTGCCCGCTTTCGAGCTTAAAGACCCGATGCCCGCTGTCTTGCAGATGACTCGGTGCCCGCGGTCTTGCCAGATGTCTCGGTGCCCGCTGTCTTGCCAGATGACACGGAGCCCGCTGTCTTGCCAGATGACTCGGTGCCCGCTGTCTTGCCAGATGACTCGGTGCCCGCTGTCTTGCCAGATGATCCGATGCCCGCTGTCTTGCCAGATGACCCGGTGCCCGCTGTTTTGCCAGATGACTCGGTGCCCGCAGTCTTGCCAGATGACTCGGTGCCCGCAGTCTTGCCAGATGACTCGGTGCCCGCAGTCGTGCCAGATGACTCGGTGCCCGCTGTCGAGCTTAAAGACTCGATGCCCACGGTCTTGCCAGATGACTCGGTGCCCGCAGTCGTGCCAGATGACTCGGTGCCCGCTGTCGAGCTTAAAGACCCGATGCCCGCGGTCTTGCCAGATGACTCGGTGCACGCTGTCTTGCCAGATGACTCGGTGCCCGCTGTTTTGCCAGATGACTCGGTGCCTGCTGTCTTGCCAGATGACTCGGTGCCTGCTGTCTTGCCAGATGACCCGATGCCCGCTGTCTTGCCAGATCACTCGGTGCCCGCTGTTTTGCCAGATGACTCGGTGCCCGCAGTCTTGCCAGATGACTCGGTGCCCGCTGTCTTGACAGATGACTCGGTGCCCGCTGTCGAGCTTAAAGACCCGATGCCTGCTGTTTTGCCAGATGACTCGGTGCCCGCGGTCTTGCCAGATGACTCGGTGCCCGCGGTCTTGCCAGATGACTCGGTGCCCGCTGTCTTGCCAGATGACTCGGTGCCTGCTGTCAAGCTTGACGACCCGATGCCCGCTGTTTTGCCAGATGACTCGGTGCCCACTGTCTTGCCAGATGACTTGGTGCCCGCAGTCCTGCCAGATGACTCGGTGCCCGCTGTCAAGCTTAAAGACCCGATGCCCGCTGTCTTGCCAGATGACTCGGTGCCCGCTGTCTTGCCAGATGACTCGGTGCCCGCTGTCTTGCCAGATGACTCGGTGCCCGCTGTCTTGCCAGATGACTCGGTGCCCGCTGTCTTGCCAGATGACCCGATGCCCGCTGTCTTGCCAGATGACCCGGTGCCTGCTGTTTTGCCAGATGACTCGGTGCCCGCAGTCTTGCCAGATGACTCGGTGCCCGCTGTCTTGACAGATGACTCGGTGCCCGCTGTCGAGCTTAAAGACCCGATGCCTGCTGTTTTGCCAGATGACCCGATGCCCGCTGTTTTGCCAGATGACTCGGTGCCCACTGTCTTGCCAGATGACTTGGTGCCCGCAGTCCTGCCAGATGACTCGGTGCCCGCTGTCGAGCTTAAAGACCCGATGCTCGCTGTCTTGCCAGATGACTCGGTGCCCGCTGTCTTGCCAGATGACTCGGTGCCCGCTGTCTTGCCAGATGACTCGGTGCCTGCTGTCTTGCCAGATGACTCGGTGCCCGCTGTCTTGCCAGATGACCCGATGCCCGCTGTCTTGCCAGATGACCCGGTGCCCGCTGTTTTGCCAGATGACTCGGTGCCCGCAGTCTTGCCAGATGACTCGGTGCCCGCAGTCGTGCCAGATGACTCGGTGCCCGCTGTCGAGCTTAAAGACTCGATGCCCGCGGTCTTGCCAGATGACTCGGTGCCCGCAGTCGTGCCAGATGACTCGGTGCCCGCTGTCGAGCTTAAAGACCCGATGCCCGCGGTCTTGCCAGATGACTCGGTGCCCGCTGTCTTGCCAGATGACTCGGTGCCCGCTGTTTTGCCAGATGACTAGTGCCCGCTGTCTTGCCAGATGACTCGGTGCCTGCTGTCTTGCCAGATGACTCGGTGCCCGCTGTTTTGCCAGATGACTCGGTGCCCCGCTGTCTTGCCAGATGACTCGGCGCCCGCTGTCTTGCTAGATGATTCGGTGCCTGCTGTCTTGCCAGATGACTCGGTGCCCGTTGTCGAGCTGGACGACCTGATGCCCGCTGTTTTGCCAGATGACTCGGTGCCCGCTGTCTTGCCAGATGACTCGGTGCCCGCTGTCTTGCCAGATGACTCGGTGCCCGCAGTCTTGCCAGATGACTCGGTGCCCGCAGTCGTGCCAGATGACTCGGTGCCCGCTGTCTTGCCAGATGACTCGGTGCCCGCTGTCTTGCCAGATGACTCGGTGCCCGCAGTCTTGCCAGATGACTCGGTGCCCGCGGTCTTGCCAGATGACTCGGTGCCCGCTGTCTTGCCAGATGACACGGAGCCCGCGGTCTTGCCAGATGACTCGGTGCCTGCAGTCGTGCCAGATGACTCGGTGCCCACTGTCGAGCTTAAAGACCCGATGCTCGCGGTCTTGCCAGATGACTCGGTGCCCGCTGTCTTGCCAGATGACTCGGTGCCCGCTGTTTTGCCAGATGACTCGTGCCTGCTGTCTTGCCAGATGACTCGGTGCCTGCTGTCTTGCCAGATGACTCGGTGCCCGCTGTTTTGCCAGATGACTCGGGTGCCCGCTGTCTTGCCAGATGACTCGGCGCCCGCTGTCTTGCTAGATGATTCGGTGCCTGCTGTCTTGCCAGATGACTCGGTGCCCGTTGTCGAGCTGGACGACCTGATGCCCGCTGTTTTGCCAGATGACTCGGTGCCCGCTGTCTTGCCAGATGACTCGGTGCCCGCTGTCTTGCCAGATGACTCGGTGCCCGCTGTCTTGCCAGATGACTCGGTGCCCGCAGTCTTGCCAGATGACTCGGTGCCCGCAGTCATGCCAGATGACTCGGTGCCCGCTGTCGAGCTTAAAGACCCGATGCCCGCGGTCTTGCCAGATGACTCGGTGCCCGCTGTCTTGCCAGATGACTCGGTGCCCGCTTTCTTGCCAGATGACACGGAGCCCGCGGTCTTGCCAGATGACTCGGTGCCCGCTGTCTTGCCAGATGACTCGGTGCCCGCTGTCTTGCCAGATGACTCGGTGCCTGCTATCTTGCCAGATTACCTGATGCCCGCTGTCTTGCCAGATGACCCGGTGCCCGCTGTTTTGCCAGATGACTCGGTGCCCGCTGTCTTGCCAGATGACTCGGTGCCCGCTTTCGAGCTTGACGACCCGATGTCCGCTGTTTTGCCAGATGACTCGGCGCCCCTGTGTCTTGCCAGATAACTCAGCGCCCGCTGTCTTGCCAGATGACTCAGTGCCCGCAGTCTTGCCAGATGACTCGGCTCCCGCTGTCTTGCCAGATGACTCGTTGCCCGCTGTCGAGCTTAAAGACCCGATGCCCGCTGTTTTGCCAGATGACTCGGTGCCCGCAGTCTTGCCAGATGACTCGGTGCCCGCTGTCTTGCCAGATGACTCGGTGCCCGCTGTCGAGCTTAAAGACCCGATGCCCGCTGTTTTGCCAGATGACTCGTGCCCGCGGTCTTGCCAGATGACTCGGTGCCCGCTGTCTTGCCAGATGACTCGGTGCCCGCTGTCGAGCTTGACGACCCGATGCCCGCTGTTTTGCCAGATGACTCGGTGCCCACTGTCTTGCCAGATGACTCGGTGCCCACAGTCTTGCCAGATGACTTGGTGCTCGCAGTCGTGCCAGATGACTCGGTGCCCGCTGTCGAGCTTAAAGACCCGATGCCCGCGGTCTTGCCAGATGACTCGGTGCCCGCTGTCTTGCCAGATGACTCGGTGCCCGCTGTCTTGCCAGATGACACGGAGCCTGCTGTCTTGCCAGATGACTCGGTGCCCGCTGTCTTGCCAGATGACCCGATGCCCGCTGTCTTGCCAGATGACCCCGGTGCCCACTGTTTTGCCAGATGACTCGGTGCCCGCTGTCTTGCCAGATGACTCGGTGCCCCCTGTCGAGCTTGACGACCCGATGCCCGCTGTTTTTCCAGATGACTCGGTGCCCGCTGTCTTGCCAGATGACTCGGTGCCCGTGGTCTTGCCAGATGACTCGGTGCCCGCT